AGTGAGGAAAGGGTTCTGAGAGCCTTGGAAGTGATATTCGTGATCACCGCGAAATTCTCTATCGAATGGTGTATGAAGTGTCGAAAAATAAATTTCACTGCAAGGCTGCCCTGGGTGCATCTTAATAATAATAAAAATATATATAAAATATTGTTTTTCATCATTATTTAGACTGAAAATCATAATATATTCAAACATTTTTCTTCGAAAGAATATCGTCTCGTATTAGATGATATTCGACACTGTATATTAGCTACAGATCTTGTTTTATTTTTTGAAAATCGAACAAAATTAAATCGATTATTAGATGATCATGTGTTTGATTGGAATAATTCTGAACACATGTAAGTCATATTTTAAATTTTTAAATAGAAGACTACTGAATCACACTAAAAATTTGTTTGTGAATACAGTGTGTGTTGTCTGCACATCAAAATTCCTTTATTATACATGAAAGAGTATTACACAAATAGGCATCAATATAAATGTTACTCTTTTTCGATTATCATGATAATTTTACTGGTCTATGATAATGTCCTATGACAGCGAGCATTGAGAATGAATACTCATTTTTAAGATGAGGTGCTAATTCTACTGTACTCTCTAAAAAAGATATGTTTATTACAAAACCTAAAAGGTTATAGAGAAGTGCAACCATTTCGAAACTGTTTTAGATTTCGTATGAATCCCTTTTGTGTTTCGTACTTCGACTACGAAACCTTTTATGGTTCTGGGCGAACATAAAGGTTTCGTAGTCGAAGTACGAATGATAATTTAATCACCATCTGTTTAGCATTTAAATTTGCTCTCTAAATTGTGATTAGAACGATAATAGAGAGAAGATTTGCCTACTTAAAGTCGACTTCTTATTCGCCGAGTGTAATGATATATTTATTTTTATATCATTTACTTCTATACTACATTTGTTGTAAATCTCTATCCTTTCGTTTGATGTTGCTATTACATGCATGCTACCACTTCATTACTTTTATCTTTCGTACTGTAATGTTTAATAATCATTATTAAAATATTGAACTATATGTACGTACTCTTGCTTAAAAATCTGCTTAACTTATAGGCACATAGTTATGGGAGTTTGTATGACTGCTGCAGATTTATGTTCATCATATAAGTTATGGCACGTACAAAGGTCAACAGTGAACATAATTATGGAAGAGTTTTATTTACAAGTAAATTATTTTTAAATCGAAATATTCTTCTTTCATTTTTTTTTATTCATCTCGACAAAGAAAGCAGCAGCAATATTGTGTTTTGATGTTGCCTCAGTCTATAGTGATTACGCTTTTCTATTGTCCTTTTTTACTACTAATAATAAATCTAATAATAAACTAATTATATTTACTAATGTTTGTGATGTTACTTGAAATGAAAAACCTAAAATTCCTTATATCACACATACACACACCATCATATATTCGAATTGCGTATAACATTAATTTTTGTGACAAAAAAAACTGTAGAATCCTCGTAAATATTATTTAGAAAAAATGTGCAATCATTAACAATGACGGCAACTGATTTATGTGCCACGTATAAATCATGGACTAATCAACAAAATATTGTATCAACAATTATGGATGAATTTTGGGAGGAAGTAAGAAATATATAAATGATGATTGTCATAAATTAAAAATGAATTATTTTCTTGCTGCTTTCTTTGTCGACTATTATGCATATTTTTTTTTAATGTAAATCTTTTTTATTGTACATCTCAACTCGATCGAGAATTCAGCATTATTTAAGTATTTTTTCTTTCTCTCTGAAACAAGAATGAAGTAAAAGGTGTTTTTATACCATTAAATGAATCATGCGTTTAATCCTGACACAACTCCTACTAGGATATTGCGTTTTATTTAACCATCGATTGTTTTTTTTCGTACGAGTAACGATCAAAGAAATCGTTGAGGAAAATAGAATTTTTATCTATTTCCTATTAATTTAACGTTAGAACTTTTATTTGATAGATATGTAAGCGTGTTCTTGTTGTACTGAAACAAGACTCATTTATGAATTGAGTATAAATGGTATGACTTTTAGAGAATTCGGCTTCGATACCCTTTAATTCTTTCCATAAATTCTGCGTTTAAAGTATGACATTGTTACCGTAAACCGTTTACTCAAATATAGCCAAAACCGATTTCATAGAAAGATGCGCTACCTGTCAAAACTGTGATTATTTACTATTTTTTCAGAGAAATCATTAGCCTGTTGACTATAAAACCGTTTCAATGTACATCTTTGATTAAGGCACTCTTGCTAACAAAGAATTAATAGTCTTTGATCGTGTTAAAAATACAGACATTAACGTCGTCAATTTGAAGGGGTTGAAAAAAACAGAAGTCATTTGTTTTGTCCCAAATGTTCCGTTTTGCTTTTTGGCTGCAAAAAAGTTCTGATAGTTAAACTCAACAATAAAACTGCTTAAAATTAGGGATTTTCGAAGATAAAACTTTTTAGAGTTGAAGTAAGAAACCATAAATCAGCGCCATATGTGTATAATTATTGAGTTTTCGGCTCAGGGTAGTGCCAGTATGGCCGAAGAAAATTTTGAGGGAAGTTAATTTAACAGATGGAAATATGTTTGCAACTATATAGTTTGTCAAAGCCCAAATTAAACTATAACCTACTTCTGACATATACACAGCATATCTCGGGAATATCAGCTCTCAAAAATGAACTGTTTAAAGTTGAACTTTCTCTATTTTATTCCTAACTACCTATTCTCACAGTTTGAAGTCAGAATTGTCAGTTCAGTTGATTCAAAATCCAGTTGAAATTTGATCAGGATTAAAAACATGAAAAGTGTTAAAGTTATTTTTTTTCCATAAGTTCTATATGAAGCAATCTAAGCCTATTTCATTTCAAACCGCTTAGAATATCAAACTAATATTAATAGAATTTTTCGTCGTTGAATTCTGATCGAGTCAAGATTATATTTAATACGTACGCTTAATATGTTTACATGACATTCAATTCATTTTACTGTTTATGAATTAGGGAGATGAAGAAAAACGTCAAGGACTAGAGCCATTACCGTTGATGAATCGTTCATTGGCTTATGAATTACCAAAAAATCAAGTACTGTGATCCTTTTATTTTCTCTCGAAATATTTTTTATTATTTTTTATACTAATTTAGGTAAACTTTATTGGCGGCATATGCATTCCATGTTACGAACTTTTAGAGAGAGTATTACCTGATTCATCGCCAATGTTAGCTGGTGCAAGGTTGGTTAATCTTGAATTCTTTATAAATTTTAGCTCATCTAACTTGTTTTATTGTAGAAGCAATCTTCAAAGGTGGCAAGAATTAGCAGACCAACAAAGAAGAAATTCTAGGACATCGTCGTCTCCCATAGACGTTGCTACAGCTGAAACAACAACCAGTACTACCGAATATACATCATCAGCATCCTCATCAGATCCAGCTAGATACCCTTCGTGATACGTATTTTTGTTTTGTTGTTTTTTCTCTTTCTTTTTTATCTATTTTCATTATTCTGTTTTACATTTCTTTTTTTTGTACACCAGGCTTTTATTACGCATATGTATTTTAACTGTAATGATCGTGGATGTGTTACATGCCCGAATTTTGTTTCACTTAATTATTTTCATTCTTCCGTAGCTCATGTAAAATACAATGTGGCTTTTCAAACTGGTATCAACATAAACGGTAAAAGTCAGGATATGGTTTATCTTCTGACGTGTAAAAAATGTAAAAGAACAGTATGTAGATCAAACACAATAGCAATCAAATGCTCGTATGCATGACCATCGCGATGGAATAAAAAGTGGTGATAAAACAGTTAATCAATATTTCCAACGACAGAAAGTTGGAAACACAATCGCTGCAAAAAAAAGGGCCTTTTTGGATTCGATCTTTACGTACACTACGTCCATATGGCTTAAATCGTTGTTTAGATGTCAATACGTAAATAGATCTTAATAACTCAGTTGAATATATTTTCCACCGAGCTCATAAATGTAAAAATCGGAAAAGAGGCAAACACAACTATAACAGATTATCGTCGACACAAAAGTTAACGTTGGTAAAAAATATTTGTAAACATTTAACAGTTTTGTATAATAAACAGTCTCATAATTTTATTCATCACTGTCGTCGAATTTTAAATCAATCTTTCTTTTGGCCGTTAAAACAACCTCGAATTTTAGTTCAAGATGAAAATCATTTTGATGATAATACTACCGGAATCTAATTCAAGCAGTAGGATCTGATTTTCACAATTATGATTTTTGGAAAAAACTGCTGATATTTTGGGGAAAGATTATTGAATATTCAGACCGGTCGCCAAAAGTGAAGAAAAAAAATCGGCATGTAATCATGGTGAAAGAAAAGCATAATATAAACTGAAAATATGTATTCGTCTGAAAATGGGGAAAAGGGAAGGCTGAGAGGAGGGGACGAGGAGCTGAGAGTGAGCCCCTCCCTGATATTGATCACGGTGAAAGAAAACAGGAAGATACCTGAAGATCTTAACATCTGAATAACTAAACAACTGAGTATTAGAATATCTGTCGGTACCAACTCGGTACGGGTACCGAAAGTACCAAAGCTTTTTTCATTATCGAAATCTATTTTTGAACTCACAAGAAGCTTTTTTTTCCTTAAATCGTGGAGACTCTCGTCCCTTAATTTTTTTCGTAGGTATGGAACTTTTCAGTACTTTCCGTGGTACCGAACGATTCGATACCTAACAGGGTACCAAACTAAAATTTTCGGTACTGCGCGAAAACAGTACCGATACTGAAGTACCGATAATGACCTAATCTGAATATCTAGATATTATGTAATTGCAGATGTTCGCAAACCAGACCGACCTCAATTCAAGGTCTCACGAAGTTTAATAAACATCAAAAACAAGTAAAACAACAACTATTACAAAATACTCAAAATTCTAAAAAAGAACTAAAGAAAATCCTTTAGTCATCAGTTTTATCAACAAAGGTGTAGAAAATATTAACGTCAAAAGGATTTTGAATATGAAATTTATTGGAGAGCTTCTCCCAAAAAGTTTAAAAGATAGTTTATTGGTGACAACGTACAAGTTGATGAAACCGATATGAAGCAAAATTTTTAATTATCGCCAAACAGTTACTGACTTCAACGTAAATAATTTCAATAATACAAAGTGTGACTGTCACTTTAGTCTTTTTAAAAATTCTCAGCACAAACATACTGTAACCGGCGATTTAAAGATCATTGAAACAAGCTACTTCGAGAACAATTACGAACAGGGCCACAGCTCCAAACTGAACTTGCTTACATGAATACTTTCATTGAAACTTGCTTACATGAATATCGAAGAAGGTTTGGAAAGTTATACCGAAAAAATATCAGAAAAAGAAAAGATCGATAAAGCCTTTTTTAAGTTATGGGAAAGTGAAGTTTTGAAGAATGTTAAACAGCGGATAAAACAAGTGAAGTTAAGACAAAATTATCGAGCGTACAGTTCATGTAAACCCAAATTAAAAAAGTCCGACATTGTAAAAACACTTGAGGATGTATATGATAAGTATGTAATTGTTCTGGTTGATAAAGCTAATAAAATATTGCGGTAATATGTAAAAAGTTCTATTTGGAAAGACAGTTAAATGAAATTGGATACCACAATTTACTGGATTCCAAAATTTTGTCAAAATTCACTTAAAGAGCGTTTTATAATATCATCTTCTTTTTGTTGTACAAAAACATTGGCTCAAACATTGTGTTCCACCTTGCGTGTAATGTATCAACAACAACTAAAATATTGTACAAATATCCAAAGTAGAACTAAAATCAATCGTTTTGGGGCTGTCGATCGTTCAAACAAAGTATTGCAACGTATAAGAGAAATAAACAAGAGAAAATCCGCAAGAAATGCTCAAATTTATGTTTTTCCGACACTTTATACTAGTATACCTCATAATCTGTTGATTGAGAGTAAGAAATGGATAGGAAAGAAAAGTTATTTTGACTCAAAACACGGTTATGTTGGTTAACACCTGGTTTGCTGCATCCCAGAGTGCTTTAAATGCTCATAAGAACAATAACAAAAGTCTTACAGTAATCAACAGATAGGCTTTTAATGAAATGATTTACTTTTTAGTCGAAAACAACTACTTTACTCTAGGAACAATTGTGATTCGACAGATAATTGTGATATCCATGCACAGTGTGCATTTTTCCATAGACCAGGCGGACATTTGCTACCGAATCAGTCCAAAAGTCGATAAACACCTTTTTATAGGTTTTCAGATATGCTCTTTCCAATGGGTGGCTTTACAAAATTCCAAGAGACTTTCATCTGAGTTCTCCAGAGACCGGCTCTCTAGAAAACCTACACATAAGTACTCTGAAACTTTGTAAAGTACGCCGTTGGAAAGAGCATATCTGAAAACCTGTAAAAAAGTGTGTATAGACTTTCGGACTGCTTCTATAGCAAATATCAAAATCCTTAGCCAAAATTGTCACACTATGCTTCGACTCTAGCGTTCCGTTACATCCAACAAGTTTTTGCTTAAAAAAACCTACTAATCGCACATCATTGAATGCAGTTTCTTGCGCTGATTCCGAGTATGTAGTTTTTGTTGAATAAAAACGTTTCCGAACCGAGAAAAACGAAAAATACCTGAAAAACTCAGGTTTTTTGGAAAACCCGCTGTCTGCTTCAGAAACATTTGCGCATTCACCATAGATACAAAGCATGTTGACGAACATTTTGCCAAAGTTTGGTCGAGCTTCGAATTGGGCTGTGGAGGGCGCTCTCATTTTACTGAAAATAGCCGTTCGGAAAATCACTTTAGAAAATTTTTGTAAAATTTTCTCAGCTCTTATACGTCCAAATTAAAATTTTGTTTTACTAATCTATAGCCGAGACCATGTAGATTTAGAATATATCTCGTGTTTGATTACAACTCCATTGACTGTTGTGAAAATTATACTTTTCTCGTCGATACCACTCTTTTCAAGCCATTTTTTGGTTTTTTGGTTATCTGTTTTCCTATGATCCATAGATTTTGTAACAACAATTTTTATGCCATTGGATAGAGCATCACTTGAAGTATATAAATCACTATTTAAATCATTCGAAAGCCGATTTTCATTTTTCGCCCTAATGTCCGCCTGGATGCACACTGTGCCATGGGTACTGATCCCGGTCCTTCTCTAACAAACTTATTTTTGTACAAATATGAATTTGAATTTATGGAGAAAAATACTCAGAATATGTACTCAACCTGTAGAGTTTTTAATACATGTTTTTTGAATACTGTACATTCGATACATCGACGACCTTTTAATAAACCATAATAAACCAGTCATTTACCCTGTGCAATTAACTTTAGATCAGGAAACTCTAAATAATCAATGATGGGACAGTTACTTTGCTTATAAAATGTTTGCATGGATTACAAAACATACTTTACTGTGGTTAAAACTATGAGGATATAAAGGAATAAAATACACTAATGATACCGTTGATGTTTATCGTTATGGAGAAATTATATCATAGGATTAACCGTCATCGACTGCCTAGTATCCACTCCATACTTAAATTCAGTGACGATAATTATCCTTTTCTGTAATTCATGATCAGTCTAGTATTTTGTCTTTGAGACATCAGCAGAGTATAATGTTCGTATGTCAACTGCATTTTATTGACTAGAATCGATTACTAATATATCTACCAAATGTATTCGTCCAATACTGGGTACGTAATGCTCCTCTTTTCCTCTTTAATCCAAGACCTCTCCTTTTACTTCCTTTCTGAGCTAATTTTCCTCTTTTTATGTGATTTTTTTAGCAAAAATACCAGAATTCACACTATTTTTAGATCTGAAAGTAGTTTCAGATATATTTTGTTATCAATACCGTCATATGAAACAAAATTCAATCACTCGTGGTTACAGAAAACAGTAGATGAAGTCCCTGTGAGACGATGGTTAAAGCAAGGTGCTAACGAATCAACATTCGTATGTACATTGTGTAAAACGGGCGAATTAGATTGTGGGAACAAAGGATGGCAGTGGATAGTACAGCATATGAAGAAAGGTAAACACTGTGAAAAAAATCAACTAGCTAAAGAAAATATGACATTTGTTAGCGATGCTATTTGAACATTCAGATATGTTTCTGCGTTAAACTAGAATAACTCCTTTTTCCTGTGTTTTTCTTAGTTTTTTACTCGTGAAACTTGGAAAAAAATACTTTAAGTAGGATGAAATCTTTTCTTTGAGAGCCTTAAGCCACTTTGATATGTACACAATATTGTTAGTACCGTTTTTCGTCCAAAAAAATGCCTCCTCTTTTTCTCTTTTTTCTGAGAGGACCGTTACGAAGCCAAGTTCAATAGCTGTCATGTTCATCCTAGATATTCTTGCTGCCATCTAATTTGTCTTATCCGTATTTGGTCAAAAACGATCATGAAACTCATGCAGGAATCTGTA